CTGCAGGGCTGCTTCTTTACATTTCCTCACTCCTCTCTTCCAGCTGCTGTTGTGCAAGGTTTTCCCCTTTCTTAACCTCACTGCAAGTCCCTGTTGGAGCAGCTGAGACTGGCTCTGATCTGACATAGGGTGGTGCTGGGTTCTGCTCACAGAGGTCTTCACTTTTCTGATACCAAAGCCTTGCCATGTAAACCCAGTACACCAAATAAACAAAAAAACAGTATGCATTTTTATGCTTTGCTGGCTTTTTAGGACTTTAATAAATTCCAGCAGTCTGAAATATACTTGTTATTTAAGTAGTTTTCTAGTAAGGCAACAAAGACTTAAGAAATCATTTTTCTACTGCATCATAATACATAATTGTTTAGCAACTGTTATTTTTCCATATGTTAGGAAGTTTTATCAGGAGCAAATAGTACTTCAATTAAAAAAATGTTCCAGAGGAAAAAAAGGAAAACATTAAAAACCGTATAAACTTGTAGTCTGATAGCTGCAAACTTTAGAATCTGTGAATAGATACAGATTCTTACAGCCATTCATAAAAATCACATAATACCCTAAAAAGCGATATTTTAATATTTTTCTGTTTTTCACTGAAACTGTTGCATGAGATGAATCTAATGTGTAGTAAGTCTTAAAACATTTCCATATACAAAATCTTATTCTGATATCGTAGACTAATACGCAGTCACAGATAATTACTGGTGCGTGAGTTCAGCACAACCAACATATTGTGCTTTGCAAGAAATAATGATTTCACAGTATTTGTGGTTTACATGTTAGAGTGCTTAGGGTTTGAGACTATTGTGGATTAATATTACACAAAATCAGATTTGAAAAAGAAGCTGGAATCAGCTGCTTAAAAACCTATTGGGAAGAAATGGTACGTTGACTTTTTCCTCCTCATTGCTAGCTCTGTGAAATAGAATAGCTGTAGGTTTTTTTAACACTTTTAATGTTTGCCTTTGATCTTGCAGAGCCCTTTGATAGGACAAACACTGCTAGAGCTGTACACGAAAAACAGAAGTTTGATACTATCAAAGAGGAATTTTTTAAGGTAAAAATAGCATCCGTTTTATTTTTCTGGTCACTTTGGTTTTCAAGATGGCTAAACAAATGATAGTTATTGTGCTTGCCTGATTCTGATGGTTATGATTGTCCTTATATCATGTAGTGTGTACAAAGTGTACTTGATAAGTACATTCAGTATAGATTGCATATATTACACGTATGGATACTTCATGTTTGTAAACATATTCTACAAAATAGAATATACATATAAATATGCATAAATAAAAAACTATTCTAATCTTCTTTAGGAAAATGAAGTAATGTAAATATGGCTCACTGCTATTGAGTGATATCTTTTCCTGTGACTTTAATTGCACATTGTGGGTAAAATGAACTGTGCGTTAAGATAGGAGGGCCAGTGCAATTATTCCCAAGTTCATGATCTAAAAGATGTGACAGTTGTGTCTTGGAATGCACAAGAATACCGAAGAAAATGCTAACAGTAACTTTCAGGACACGGATTCTGCAAATGACAGAGTATAACTGCCTGTATCAGTAGTTTTGGTATGTGTGCTTTTAGGACAATTATTTTGCAGTTAGAGAATTGATGTAATACTTAAATAATGTGAATATCTGTCACAGTCTCCAGAAACACAAATCTGCTCTCTTCTTGAAAGGATGTACCTTTCTCAATAGTCCTCTGCATTTTGTGTACTTCTCAATTATTTTTCTCTGCATAAATAAATAAATATCTTTCCTCTAGAGGAGAAAAATATCAAATTTATTTTCGTGGATCTGTGAGGCTTACTGCTTAAAAGGATATTTAAATATTGATGGAAAATATGATTTGTCCTTCTAACCCTTCTACTTTTTTCCTCAGTCTTGGCAGATACTGCGAGACAAGAAAGACTTGAGCTTTGTATTACCTTTGAGAGCCACCATACAGAGAAGATAACAAACTTCTTTCATTTTCTCCATATTGGATCCTGCTGAAATAAAGAACAATATCAAAACCCAGGTTACACCCTTGTTATTTTATTATGTGCTTTTCTTGTTATGCTTTTGTTAAGGATATCTTTGTAAGAAAGACTTCATATTTTATTATTGACATTTATTAATGCAGTTGTTCACTCAGAGATGTGTTTTCTGAGAACACTTGTATTGTTGATTTCTGGAAGAGAATGTTGTGACTAGAGCAGCAGACCACAGGAGTAAATCTGTTGTAAACAAAGTATGGGAATGTACTGACTTTCCATAATCTGTGTTGTCATCAATTCAGACAAATTTAACAATGAAATGACTGAAATCAGAGCTAAACAGTGTATGAGTCTGTATCCTTTAAGGCACTGCACACAAACTGTCCTTGATGAGCAGACAGCTTGTGCTTTCTGTCTGTTTAATGCAGTATGCACTTTTGCTCAGTTTGGCACTTCCCAGTTATATTTTTATTTTATATAGAACAAAAGCAACAATTTATGAAAATTAAGCTAGATTACAGTTGGTAATGTTCTGGATATTAAGCACTGTAATCTAAAATGGAATTTTCAGTCAACAGTTCTACAAGAAAGTTGAACTGAAAAAGGACAATTCAGTTTATGTGATTGATTCATGTTCACGTAGCAGACAAGATAATTTTTAGTGCTTCGTTTTACAAATTCAAAGTAGTAGCATTATCTGCGTAAAATACCCCTGCCCTACAGTAGCTACACCAAGCTGGGATTTTGTTTTGATTTTGTGTAAATGTTTGTTAACTGGTAGGCTGCTGTAAATTGATTTCAAATAAGTAATCTTAAAAATTGTAGGTTTTCCAAACAACAAAGTAATGAAACTTTTTAGACCTGCTGTAGCACAGTTTGTGCCGGTCATGTGTTTGTTATTGAAGACCAATTCATTGTCAATACTTCTAATTGATGTCAAATGCATATAATGCATTTTTTTTTTTTAATATTTTGTATGGTGTCCCGTGGAATAAAGTTTCTGGAAAATACAGCTTTCTTTGATGTTTTATGTTTGTTTGTATTGGACATTTGATATAGTTCTTATAATTAAGTAGAAAAGGAAATGAATGTAAAGGTCAAGGCACCTGTTACAAATAAAAATTTTCTACGGGTATTTTGTGCTGTGTCTGTGTGCGGATACAATTTTCATCTGTTGCCACTTCTAACAAGATTGTGAAAGCCCTTACAATTCAAAATAACGTGGATTATTTTTTCTTGCGCAAACCTTAGGTTCTAATTTGTTTAAAGTCTTACAATTTAGAAGTTCTAGGAACAGTAAATTGTTTGCCTGCTGGAAGTTTACTTTCTGCTCATACTTAATCATGATCTAATCTATCTGATATTTTGGCTTGCTTCTTGAAACAGCTTCCTTTTAACAGGCTTTTAGTTTTAATCTGACTTTGTCAGTCATCTAAAATGTTCTCCCTCTATGTGGATGTTCCCTGCATCATCCCTCATTTTTATCTAGTGGTGTAAGCATGGGTGAAGCATTTCATTTTGCCCTGTTTTATGTAAAACACCACTAAATTTTTTTGGAAAAGAATGATGACTGGATTCAAAGATGTCTGTAGATTGCAGTGAGGGGGATGTTGCTCCTTTTTTAAAAAGCTCTGGGCGTCTCTTTTCCTACAAAATGTAAACTCCCAAAATAGTATAATTAAGAAGGGACATCATGTTCAAATTCAGCAAAAATGCATTTTAAGTAAGCTGGATGTGAGGCATCAAACTGTAAATGACCATCACATAAGGCTTTACATTCAAAACATTTATAGGAAAGAAAGCGCTTTAGATTACTGCTTTATGTTTGAAACAAGTTTTTCCTGAAATGCAACTTTATAAAAACTGACCCATCTTGTTAATCATCTTTACACAAGCTTGAGATGACCTATGTTTTTACAAGTAATCCAGTGTGTTTTTCTTCAGTTCATTTACTTCTGATAAGCTATACTTAAAATTATAAAAAGTAGATGGTAGTTTTGCCAAATATCAGGACAAGCATGTTTGTCACAAAACTCCCCAGTACTTAAATTACAGTAGCAGGCACCATTGAAGCAGTATGACTTAGCTTACCTTGTAATGAAAGAAGCAAATTGAGTAAGTGGTTATCTGGCATAGTGCACAGAAAGTGGCACTACTTTCATATATTGAAAAATGATCTGAGATGGTCAGGAAACAAATTTCACTATATGTCATGCTGTCACATTCTTTGTCAAGGCAAACAAGAGCAGCACTACTTGTGGAAGTGCCAGGCATCTGGAACAACATCAAGTAAATGTGATACTTGGTGTGTGTTGGACTGTAACTTTTGATAGAAAACTTCAGATAACGTTCCACGGTATAAATAGTTTTGGAATTGTTTTGCCACAGTTTCATAACAAAACCCTTCATTAACCCTCCCTTCCACCCCACCCCTCCACCCCCCCCGTGAGGAATACTTACGCTGGGAGACTTTTAGTAGGAAGTCTGTTTTCCACTGCTGACCAAGGTTTCGAAATGCATGCAAGATGCTAACATCTCCCTGAGCTAAAAGATGCTGTAGTTCAGCTCTTGTATTTTAGGCTTTGTAGTGGCTTTGGGTACTTGTTTGTGGCAGTGGGTTCACTTGTCGCTTCCCATCTGAAATGATGTTAGAAACTGTTATGCCTTATCTAGGATTTGAAGAACTCTCTAGTCTTCTAGCAGAACTTCTAATTAATAGACTCAGATTTGTATTGGAGAACTACATGTTAACAAGAGCTTCCAATTCAATTATCGTAACAGAACTGGAATAGGCTATACAGGGGCTGTGCCATGTGCCCCGGCACCCGGTTGGTGCTAGGACCTGGGGTGGGACCAGCAGCGACAGTGCTGCTACTTTGCTGCTGTCTATTTAAAGACTGCCCTGAATCAGGAGATGTGAGAGCTGCTGGGGATGACAGTTGCTTCAGGCAACCCTGGGGAGGACAGGGTCGGGGGTAAAAATCAACGACAAGAGCCTGAGCGAGAAAGAACATGGAGGGATACCATGGTGCAGAGTGTGACCGGGCATCTGAGACCTCCTCCTTCATAGAGGATGAAGAAGAGGAGGAAGAAGAGGAGGAGGAAGAAGAGGAGGACGAAGAAGCCGTGGACCCAGAGGAAGCAGAGGAGCTGACTCACAGGTACTGCCTCCACTCGCAGCGCTGCCTGGAGAGGCGAGCGTTTGGGCCTAAGCCTGCTGAGTCCCACTTTTCCCCCTTGTCGTCCTGCCATTCCTTCAGGGGCTTTTTGATTATCGCAGCTATGAGACGGAGGCTGTTCTGGGTGGAAATGGCTGTAATGAGATTTGTGCAGCAAGCGCCAGCCCTGAGTTCCCTAAAAGCTTTTCTATTTAAAGAGCTGCTGGCCTGCCAGCTCAAGTAGCATCTCCCTGTGCTCCTCCCCTTCTGGCTGACTGTTACATATCAGTCTGAGAAACACGGGAGGTTTGCCTGCTGAACAGAAAATGATCAAATATTATAACAGTGCTTTGGATGTTTTTCCTTTTTTCTATCCTAGCTCCCTTCCTACTCATCCCTCCCTCACCAGTCTGTGTTTCCCAAAAAAGGAAAAGCTTGTTCTATGACAATCAGGACTTGTGGGGCTGATTTTTGGTTGTGAAATGAGGAATATTGCGCCACTTCGATTTCTTCTTTTTTTTTTCTCTGTTAGTAACTGTTGCACAGAAGCTGTTGTCCTAACACTGCGCTTTTACTGCAAGGAGAATGAGGAGAGGGAGCTTGTCCCAGTGGTGTGTGGGGCTGGTCCCGCACTGAGGCAGGTGTCTGCAATTCAATCCAGCCCAGCGGGCTTCACTGGCCACAAAGAGACAGAGAGGCCTGAGGGTTAACCTCTGTATCAGGTTGCAAGATTTTTTTTTAGCAAAGTCTATCAGTTTGGGGTGGACACCCTAGGGAGAACCAAAAGCATCAGTGTTGGCAGTTTAAGATACTTTCAGAAAGCAATTTTGTAAGAAATTTAGGTCATACAGTTCCTCAAACCTAAGCGCTGTGGAACCATCCTGCATTTACAAACTGCTCTGTGTGTGACACCTTCTTGTTTCACTGGTCTTTGAAGGAGAGAGTGCGATGGCCACAGAGCGGGTGGGACAGCCTCTGTGCAGCCTGAACCATCCCAAATACTCTGTAGGGAACTAAATTCAAACAGGGAAACAGCCCTGGCGAGCAGGAAAACAAGCATCTGTGCTGTGAGAATGAAGAGCCGGTTTTTCAAAGTGAAGACACTGCCTGTGTGTAATGCTGCTTTTGTCCCAATGGAGTTGTTCACTCTGGCAGAGAGCAGGGTTACTTAACTATAAACATGTGTACAGTGCAACCCAATATAAAAACAGCTAAAGCTGGAGCTACTTGCTACCGACAACAAAATCGCCATGGGCTGGATGGATTTTTAATACAACCTGCAGTTAAATAGCTAGTAACAAAAGTCTTTTCCATTAAGGGAAGGCTCATGTACGTATGTATGCATGTAGTAACGTAGTTACTATGCTCATTCTGGGAGGTCATCAGCCTTTCCAGAAGTGCCTGTTCACAGCTCACCACAGCTGCGTCTTGCTTCTGGCTCAAAGCCTCTGCAACAGAAACTCAGGCACTGCATCGCAGTCTTTCATTAAATCAAAGAAGTCGTCCCCTTTAGATGTCAGTTCTATTACAAATTGCAGAGATCATACCTATCCTTAACCATCTTACTAGTAAGAGAGATCAGCGTCAACCAGATGGGTTTTTTAACAGATGCATTTAATGCTAACCAATTATAATTTAAATCCATTTGATTAATTAGGCTAATGGGGATGGAAAATGTTGGTTTTGGCACAGACATGGTGATACAGAAACTGCTCTGGGCACTCAGAAATAGTGTGATAAAAGTTAAATAAAGCTGATTCTTTAACTGTTTAAGATTTGTTGTTGCAAATATCAGTGTGCTTGTGTATGTTAAAGCCTTCTAATACTCTTACTGCTGGGGCAGAACTCCTTGGAAGCAGTGGCTAGGCAAGACTAGCAGAGTCAAGCCCCTGAGATACACTTAATCTGTGCAATAATTATGGGTTAACAAACATGTTTTAAAGCCCCAGTTGCAGAACAGATTTTTTTGTGTGTTTTGAAAACGTAGCCGAGAGGATATGTAACCAATATGCAAAGCTGGCTGAAAACAGTCTGTCCTGAATCCTCCTGTCATGGGTTTATTTTTAACAGCCCCTCTCTGCCATTTTTGTGTTCCTGCTCTACATGCAGTTGAATAGCACCTGATTGTGCAACACTGCAGTCAGCGGGAACTTTCCCATGGGCTCCTTCTATTTCCATCTTTCAAGCATGCATGTTCTCATTCCTATTTTATAAAAGAGTTATGCAACCCAATGATGGCCCAAGGTCAGGAAGTGCTTCTGTGAGGAAAGCAACAGAGTACTGGTGTTCCCCTACTCCCTTCACAAGTTCCAGCTGGTCTGCACCACTTCCACACTTACCCTTTTGCAGCATTATGGAGTCTGGCACATTTATTGCTGCAGTTTTCTTCATGTATGCCTCTTCCAGCAGAGATGGCTGGCCTTTGCATCTTGCTATTCCCCACCAGCTGCTGGAACACAAGTGGATGCCTGTGTGATGGGGCTCTGATGGTACACTAGGGTAAAGGTTGCTGTTGTTTTCCTTCTGTAGCACAGATAAATGCCAGTCAGCTATCAGACCCCCATGGGTTACTGACAGCACTGCTGAGGACAAATAGAGAATAGTATTTCTCTGATGGAAAATGCTTTGCTTTGGGAAATGCATCACTTAATTTTTAGTGTGCTCAAAAAAATGCATAAAGCTGCAGTAGAGCTTATGACTTGCCTAAGAATTATGAAGCCCTTCTTAAGATTTTTAATGTAATATTTAAATAATTTTATTTCCTCACACTTTTTTTTGGTTTGTTTGGGGTTTTTTTGGTTGTTTTTTTTTTTCAACTAATGAAACCAAGACATGGCATCAGAACCTATTATGAAGCTGGTCTAAGGCATCATGTCCTTGTTAGAATAGATAACCCATTGATCCTCAGAGGGTTCATGCAATATCTTCTTGCCTTTGGGCGTTTTGCTCTCTGAGATTGATAACTCTTGACAGATATCTTTTGTTTCTAGTTCTGCGTAGAATTAATCATTTAAACAGCAGAATTGCTTTGAAAGCATGTGTTTTATATCTTAAAGCAAACATGAGCATGATGTTGTTAAGTTTTAATTTTAGTTTTAAGTTTAATTTTTGTGTTGATAACAGTTAGATTACACTCCAGCTATGGAAAGGTAGTACCCAAGTGGTTTACATACCCTCTAGAATACCTGAGTCTCTAACAATTCCCTGATGTGTGTGTGGCTCCAGATCAGTTCTGCCTCTCATAACTTCCCCAGCCAATTTACTTTTGCAGTGGAAAAGTCTCAGTGTGTGTCAACATCCAGGATTTAGAAAAAAAGGGCTCTGCAGCCAATTTAAAAGCACTTCCAGATAACTTCACTAGTGGTGACATAAGCAGGACAGTAAATGAGGAGAAAGTCGTAGATTCTTGACTTCATTTATTTATTTGTTTTTAATAACATAGTAATTCCACAGGAAGATCTGAAGTTAGCAGGACATTAACAAGTGAAAGGCTGGATTTAAAATTCTGCATTTCTCTAAAGCCTAATTCTCTTACTCTTAAGAAGGAAATGCATGAGCTCTAGCCCTAGAAAATGCATGGCAGTTGAAAGAGATGATGCTGAGCTTATGATTGCTGTAGGAAAAAAGGGGCAGGAAGGTACAGGCAGAAACTGCACAAATAAATGGAACAAAATCACAGAAAAATGACGTACTTCTTTCATCTGGGATGGCAATTTGGTCAATGCACTGTGTCTGATCCTGGTAGCAGTCTTCAGGAAATGAGATGTCTTATCCGTGCAGGTCACTGCCACATCTTGATGTTTCAGTTGTTTCATTGAGGTTGTTTCCAGCTTGCAAGATGTCATGCAGCACAACAACAAATTTGAATCACACCAGAATTGATGAGGTCTGATGTGAAGAGGATGAGAAGAGGCTCTGGATGATTTTAGAGAGCAGGTGCTTCTAAATGTTCCTCTGTAAGGGCAGTGGTGGAGCACAGATGGGCAGACTTCAGTGTCTGAATCATCCTGCTCTGGCAGACGGGGAGGTGAAAACTTCCCAAAGTAATATACAAGGGGACGTGTGCCCAGCCTTCCATGCTGGACTAGAAATCTGAAATCCCACCAGACGCAGCCTTCCAAGAGGCGAAAGACTATGAGAAGGAGGAAGTGGGAAGAAAAATCTGGGGTTTGGGCTTTTATGACAGGAGTAACAAAACAGATTATCGGTGTCTTTGAAAACTGTAAAAGGTTTGAGCCGATGTACAATAACAGATAAACATGACAAAGGGATGGGGTGTGAAATGTCCATCTGAAATAAAGCAGCAATGGCTTTTGTCCTTAGACGCCAGCACTTTCATATCTTTATTTATGCACCTGAAATATTTGGAGCATATTTTTTGCAATGGCAGACAGTTCCTCCAACTAGAAAGCTTCTACTGTGCAGCATACAAGGTGTACACAAAACTAGAAGAGAATTTGTTACTGGATGACAGTGACTTCCCACAGTTAGGTAAAGGTAATGCCAGCAGAGCTAAAAGCATTAGCAGACTAGAATCTTTTCTTTTTTTCCCCCTACTGAGGTACTGAGCAGTTTTGCTGAGAGACCTTTCCAAATTCTTGATGGTTTGCTGATGGAGAGAATATGACTAATACTGGGTGTTCCTCACCAATATTCTCTTGGCCTTCGGCACACTTGTAATGCTGGATCACAGCTTCTGGTGTCACGTGGGTTCTGCCTTCTTCACCTTTGCTTAAGTGTTTTATCCAGATCACGTAGAAAGTGGCCTTATCCTCTGTTTATCAAAACCTAGCCATAGGTATGCACCCTTCTCCACTTCTTCATCAGCTCTGCTGAAGCCTCTGCCAGCTAAGAACTCTATATTTCTTTCAATCAGCTACTAACAGAGCTCTCCTTAATTAACTAACATCTACACAAGGAATACTGGGGTTGATAACAATAATCCCCATTCACGTGCTTCCTTGAAGTAATTATTGCAGCCCTAGTTAGTTTTTTTCTTAATAGCACTATGTTCTAGTGTATTTTTATTTCTTTCTCTATTCTTTACATTCTTATTTCTAAGTTTGTTGGTTTTTGTTTCTTTTTCAAAGCTTCCAAGAACACATTTCTACGTTTTTAAATTTTTTCAAATTTTTTTTAATGAGACTAGATTTAATTGCAGGATGTTACATTGCATTGATTGCATATCATAAGGTTTCAAGTTATTATTATAAAACACTGTTATTTCATTCAGGGATAGCCTGGCAGGTTTAGGTTGTTGAATGTATTCTAAATTACATTATTAAATATGTATACCGCCTAGACAATGAAACAGGAGAAGACAGCAACAAACTATTCTCTACTACCATGCAGACTGTATAATCATTTTACAATTAGGAAAAGAAAGTGTAGGTGCTATAAAACACTGTCATTATCTTATGCATGTTTAGTGCAGTGTTTAAATTATAGTATGAGTTAATCAGGTACTGGTTCAAAATCCATTTGATCTCACACTCACAAACAAGGTCAGATGAAATGCAGTTTTTCCTGAATTGTCATGAGCATTCCAACACCTCCCCTTCACTGAACTAACCTTGCAACACAAAGCCTGTATTTATATAAAATATATTTCTCAGATGAATTATGACTTTATGACTTTTCTTCTGCTTGTGTTCCAAAATCTATGCAAAAGAAGTATTTTTATAAGTTTGAAAAACATTGCTTTAATGCATTGGACTTCACTGCAATAATTTGATGCTATATTATTTTATGGTGCTTTTTTTTTTTTTTTTTTTTTTTTTTTCCAAAAGGAAGGAAAATATCAAAAAAAATTAAGTGATACAAAACCTGCAGTACATCATGACTAATCCCTCCTTTTCGATGGTAACAGTTCAAAGTGAAGATAGTGGGATAACGTGGGAAACCAGCTCAAGCAGATGTTCTACTCCCTGGACTTCAGAAACCAGTACAACTTCTGATCTTTACAGTATGGAAAGTTCACCAGTAGGTTCTCCTCCAGGAAAAGTTATCTTTATTATGGATGAAGGTAAAATTGTTCGGAAAAGGAAGCGTAAACCTTCAAGTAGAATGCCATTGCCCACACATGTGAGAGGAGGTCAGGGCAATAAGAAACGCGATTCTTCTGGAATGCAGAGACAAGAATCAAGAACTGTTCTAGGAGATGTGCAGGACTCAGTGTTAAATGTTGAACTGATGGAAGCACACGACATGGATGAAGAAATGTTGGAGGACGAAGAAGATTTGGAGAATATTGCAGAACAACCAGTAAAACGTGTTCCAATAAGATCAATATTTAGAGAAAGCAGACTGAGGAAGGTAGGGCCGATCCTTGGAGGACCAGTAAAATCTAGAATCCAGCTGTTCAATTCAATTTTTGGAGGGACTGGGCCACTCCCTGAAACACTAGAAAAAAGTAGAATCCAAAGAAAGAGCTCTGTTCCAGTAGAATCTGAATGCTTCCTTGAAGCATCAGTAAAAGAAAGATCGCATAGGTTTATTTCAGAAGCAACGCATAAAAAATCTTTCCAGAGAACAAGTAGAAGTCTTGAAACATCATCAGAAAGAAGAAGGAATCAAAAGCAGCAATCCACAGCACATTCAAATCAAAGCTATTCTTCAGTAACACCTCTTGAAAAACAGTTTACTAGTAAAGATGTTTCATTTCAAAATATTAAACCTGTAAAAACAAAAGATAAACCAAGCAAGTATTCAAAGTCTGGTGAAGAAACAACTTTTCAACACAAAGAAAGAAGAGACGGGTGGTCTCAACTGGAGAATCTGAATCAGGAATCAAGGCAGTCACAAACGTTCAGCCCTCCCGAAGTAGCAAGGAAGCAGCAAAGTTACTCATATTCACCTGCAGCTAGCAGGGCAATAACAGAACAGTTAACAACTACTGCACTAGAGTCTGATGATAAATCAGATGAACAAGTGTCACTTCCTTCAAATGAAACTGCAAATAAGAAGCCAGATCAATCACTGCTGACAGCATCAAATCTTCTAGATGAACCAAAGGAGCTAGAGATTCAGCCCAGTTCAACACTACTGTCTGTTTCAGCAGATGCTGTTAACAAATTAGATAGACAAAGTACCCAACCTGCAGAATCCACACTGGAACATCTTGAGAAGGAAATACAGAAGTCAGCAGCTGAATCTTACTTACCTAATGCTCCGTTAGCTAAACCCAGTTATGCCACTCCGTCTGAAACAAGACAGGAACATATTATGACTCAGTCATCAGAAACTGCACAATCAGAGTCTGAACATGTGCTTTTACCACATTCTGTAGATGTAATAGAGAAGCAAGAAACTGAGTATCACTCATCAGCAACTGCACAGGCAGAAACTGAACATTCTGGTCTATTGTGTTCTGTTAAAAAGAACGAGAGTCAAAGGACCCCACTACCAGAAATGCAAAATATTTACTTAGAGAAACAAACAGAGTCAGAACAAGACTTATTCTTTGCTCAAGAAGCAGAGCAGCAAGTAATCAAACTAAATTCACATACACCTGAAAAGATGGATTCTAAGTATTTTGGCATTTCATATCCTGTTTGCACAGAAACACAAGAAACTCAGAAAAGACCTGTTGTATATAAAGCAAAAGGTTTAGATCACCCTGTCTTTTCTGTTGATAAAAACAATCAAGCAGAGAGTGCACAAATGGAGATGGAATATCCAGACTTTTCATACTCCAGTGGACAAAGTCGGGAATCAGAGAGACCACAAACAGGGACAGAGCATCCAGATTTCTCTTTTTCCAAGGAAGTAACAGAGGAATTGGAGAGTGCACAGCTAAAGACAGACAATCCACATTCCTCATATTCCAGAGAAGAAACAGATAAATCAAAGAGTTCACAAGGGGAGACAGAGCAGCCAGATTTTTCATTTTCCAGGGAAAAAGTGGAGGAATCAGAGAGTACACAGCTGGAGTCAGAACATCCAGAATTCCTTTTTTCCAAGAAAGACATAGACAAATCAGAGAGTCCACACCAGGAGACAGAGTATCCAGATTTCTCATATTCCAGGGAAGACATGATTGAATCAGAGAGTACACAGTTAGAGATGGAGCAGCCAGATTTTTCTAGGAAAGAAGTAGAGCATTCAGAGAGTGCACAGTCTAAGATAGAGCATCCAGATTTCTCCTATTCCAGGGAAGAAGTGGTGGAATCAGAGGATGCACACATGAAGATGGAGCAGCCAGACTTTTCACTTCCCAGGGAAGAAAAAAAGGAATTGGAAAGTACACCACTGGAGACCACGCATCCAGAATTTGATTTTTCCAAGGAAGATATGGAGGAATTGGAGAGTACACAGATGGAGACAGAGCGTCCGGATTTCTCTTATTCTAGGGAAGAAGTGGTGGAAACAGAGAGTGCACAGCTGGAACAGACAGACTTTTCTTTTCCAGGGGAAGAAAGAGAGGAATCAGAGAGTGCACAGCTAGAGACAGAACATCAGGACTTTTCATTTTCCAAGGAAGAAACAGGAGGGCAAAAATCTATTCCCTTTGAACTGGAACAGCCAAAGTCTTACTCCCCTGAAGAAGCAGAGCAAGAAAGAACAGCACAGCTTGAGTTGGAACCTTCAGACATATCCTATTTGATGGAAGAAGCTGAGAAAGAAGACGCTACAAAACTAGAATTAGTACATCCAGATATACATGATTTAAGTGGAAGAGATAGGATGCAGCAAATGGGGAATAAGGAAACAAGACATTCAGATTTACCACATCCACAGGATGAAACAAAGCATCAAGATTTGGCAGAAGTACACATTGACAAACCTCTGGAAAACACTGGAAAAATGGAACAAGAAAATAGAGTTCAAAGAGGGCTGGAAGAACTAGTAGAAATTCAGCCAAAAGCTACACAAGAGGAACTGGATTATTCAGATTTGCCAGAAATCTGGGGGAAAGTAGAAACACAGGACATTGACCAAATGAATTTGGCACAGCAAGAAATAACTGAACCAGAGTTAGAGCATCCACCTGTGCCATATTCTTTCAGTGAACTAATGCAAGAAGAAAAGAAAATAGAACCAGCATATCCAGAACGCACATTTTATGCAAGTATAGACATGCAAGAGGAAGTGACGCAACAGAAAACAAAGCAACCATTTATTTCATGTTTCACTGGAAAAACAGAACAAGATGAAATAATGCATCCAGAGCAGGAGCAAGTATCTGTACCCTTTTCTAGTGGCAAAGAAGCACCACTGGAAATGAAAGTGGGTACAGAATACCCAGATTTGTCATATTCCTCTCACGGAACTGAACAAGAAAAGTTTAGACATCCAACCTTGCCATTCGGTTCGAAGGAACAAGAAACACCATCAGTGATAGAACATCCAGATCTTTCATGCAAGACTGGTGAACTGAAACCAGGTGATACCATACAGGGGTCAGAGTATCCAGAGTATCCAGAGAAGTCTTACTCCATGGAAGAAATGCAACAAGAATCAGAACATTTAGATTCACCAGAAACCTTGGGCAGAGCACAAGATCAAACTGTGGAGGTGGAATCTGATTACCCAAATGTATCATGTCCTGATGGCCAAAAAAGCCAGCAAGAAACTTCACAGCTGGTTTCAAAATATCCAGATACGTTGTTTTCCTTCAGTAATTTTAAAGAACAAGCAACTCAAGAGTTTGACTCAAAGCATGAAGATTTTCCTAGGGTGACCAGGAAAGGAGATTTACCAGGATCTGAACAAATAGACTCAAGATATCCAGATTTGACATATTCCTCTGGAAAAGCAGAGGAGCCAGAAATTGCACAATCAGAAGCAAGGCACTCTGACTTGTCACATTCCACCAGTGAAACAAACAAACAAGAAGCAGCACTGTTGGATCAGAAACACAGAAAAATTTCTGTTGACAGTGAAAAGCAGCAGCATACACCAGAAGAGCAGGTAGAGCAAGAAAATTCTTCTAGCAAAACAGAGCAGTTAAAATATGCTGAAGACTGCTTTGAGAAACAAGCTTTATCATTTTCCACTGTTAGGCCACATGAGAAAATGGCTTTGACAGAGACAGAACATGCTGATGTGATATATCCTCTGGAAAAAGCAAAAGTGCAACAAAGAGTACAACTAGAATCAGAGCAAATGGATTTAACTTACCCCTTTGAAAAAGCAGAACAGAAAATCACTCAGCCAGAAGTGGAAAGTTCTAATTTGGCCCATTCTATGGGTACAGCAGAACTAGAAGAAATAGCAGAACGAGAGCAGAGATATCCTGACCTGCCTTATCCTGTTTTCCAAGTAGGAAAACTGCAAAGTGAAGAGCTGAAGCCTGAACATCCCGGTCTAGCCTGTTCCTTCAACAAACTACAGGAAAGAACACAACTTAATGTGTTGGATGGCCATGGCAAAACAGAAATAGGCCCACTTGCTAAGCTGGAACTGGGCAATGAATATTTGGCATCTCCTGCTGACAAAGTGGGACAGCAAGGGATGATGCATACCTTGGAATGCCCTGATGAGAACCAGTCTGCCAGCAGAGCAGAGCATCCACAACCAACAGATGAGAAACCAGAAGTTCCAGATATATTGTCTCATAGTGGAAAAGAAGAGCAAAGAGGAAGGGCAAAACCAGCACTGAAGCATCCAGATTTATCATATTCCATTCATGGAACACAGCCACAAAAAAACACACAGCTGGAGTTAGGAAAACCAGATCTAGCAACTTGGCCTGGCAAAACAGAACAAGCACAAGATGCTCAAAAGGAGCAGTCAGGCTTCTTACATTCTTTCAACAAAGAAGAAGCACAACCAGAAATGGGATGTTCACAGTTATCTTATTCTGTTAGTGAAATAGAACAAGAAATTGCACATGAGGAATCAATCCATTCCGCTTTATCTGCTGGCAGATTAGAAGAGCATGAATTCATACAACCAGAGGCAGAAATAATGGATTTATCATGCTCAGTTGGTGAAACACAGCAGACTCAAATAGATGAACTGGATTTGGAGTATCCGGATTTATCACATTCCACTCGTGCACTACAGAAACAAGAAGAGATCCAACCAGGGCTGGAAGAGCCAAGTGATTTTTCATCATCTCTCAGAAAAGAGCAAAGGGAAAATGCAAGAATGCAGGCAGAACCCTCTGAGTTTCAGTGCTCTGTTTGGAAAGCAGATAGACTGCAAGATTCGCAGGTGGAATCAGAGTGCACAGATTTGTCATTCTCTGTTAGCCCAGCAGAAGCTCATGAAACAACAAAATCGGAGTTGAAAGAACTTGATTTATTGCATTCTTTCCTCAAAACAAAGCAATCATTGGATTCACCAGAGCCTGATCATCTAAACGTCTCAAATGCCATGGCCAAGGTACCACACCTTGACTCGTTCTCTTCCACCAGTGAAGAAAAACAGAGTGCACATGTGGATTTTAAACAGGAGAGAGAAAGCTATGCATTACACACAGAGGGAATGGCAAAATTGAAATTAGAACAGCCAACACTGTCAAGTGCTCATGGCACAGTGGAGCAACCAGGAAGCACTTCAATGGAAGGAGAGTTCCTGGAAACCTTGTATTTCTCTGGTGAAAAAAGAGAAAACGAGAAAGAGAAACAAGACATGTCAAGTCAAGAGTTAGAACATTCGGGTTTATTAGATTCTACTGATAAAACACAGCAGAAAGAAACCACACAACCCGAGTTGGGACAACTAGATTTATCATCTTACTCAGGAAAGAAAGAGCAACTACAAACTGTTCACGTGGAAGTAGTACATCAGGAGCTGCTACGTTTCCCGGGCGAAACATATTGGCAAGGAACAGCACAACCAGAGGTTGAACATTCGGATTTGTCATATGCCATTGGCGAAGTAGAGCAGCCACGGGCTACACAGTGGAAATCAGAGCAGCCTGTAACACCTCCTCACACTGGAACAACAGATCAACAAAGAATGGCACATTCAGTGCAGGACATAGGAAAACAAGATTTTATATATGACTCCGGTAAAACAGATGAAATACAAACTGTGCAAGGTGAACTGGAACATACAGCTTCATTGTATTCTTCTGACAAAAAAGAACAAGAAATGGTAATGTCAGAGTTGCAACATCCACAGCTATCGTATTCTGTAAGAGCAGTGGAAGAGAAAACTGCACATCAGAAATCAGACAACAAAGATTCATCGTATTCTACTTGCCATCAGGAGCACCACGAAATTGTACAACCAGAGATGGAAGAAATGGATTTATCCTATCCAACTGGCAAACCAGAGCACTCACAATCTGCCCAGATAGTACTGCAAAAGCCAGCATTTTTGAAGTCTTTTGGAAAGCTGGAGGAAAAGGGGTTGGCTCAGCTTTCCTTTTTGCACTCACTTGGTGAAGAAAACCAGAAACCATCTTCACAGTTAGACTTAACACAACCATATTTATCACATTTACTTGATAAAGCAGAAAAACAGGAAACTGCACAAGAAGTGTTTATGTCTTCTGATTTCTCATATTCAATGGGAAAAGCAGACCAACTGCAAACAGAACAAGTAAAATATCCATATTTTTCATGTTCTCTTGACAAAGCAGAAACTCGTGGAGTGAAACCACTGGGTTTGTTGCCCACTTATAGCAAAGCAGAGCAGACACAGACTGCCCATCTGGAACATCCAGAGACATCACACTTTGCAGGTGAAACAGAGCAGAGGAATGGGACCCATCCTGAACTGCAGTGTTTTAATTTGCCGCCCTCTGCTGTTGAAGCAGAGCAGCAAGAAACACTTTCTGTATCTGACACCTCTGCCAGGACGGAGGAACAACAAACTGCAGAACTGAAGTCTGAACAATCAGATATACTAAATTCTACTGAAAAAATGGAAAAGCTCAAAATAGCTGTATCGAGAGCAGGACATTCAGAGAAGAGGAACACTGGGATTATTCTACCTCAAACTACTCCATTGGAAACTGAACAAGATTTATCTTGTTCCAATAAGGAAGCAACAAGCCAAACAACTCAGCCCTGTTCATCTCTTACTGAAAAATCAGTGTCTGTACCATTGGGTGTCTCCTATTCTGAAACAAAAATGGAAAGAAATCCAAAGTCTTCACCGGTACCTGGAGGCCTGTCCTCTGAGCATTTAGATTTGTCTTACAGCCAGTGTAAAACAGAGCCGTCAGAAACAGCACAGCCTGTGTCAGGCTTCTTTACAAGAAAAGAAGCAGAGAATACAAGACTTCATCTAAATTTGCCTGTAGCTGCACAGTCGGAGGCTGAACATGTAATTTTACCTGAAACAGAGAGAGAACAGACTCCACAATACTTCCACACAACTCCACAATTAGAATCTGAACATTTAAATACATCATATTATATAGATAAAACAGAAACTCTAGAAAGTCAGGAGTATTTAAGTGCACCTTCAAAACCAGGGACTGAATCTTCAGCTCCATTTTATTCAGTTGATGAAACACATCAGCAAGAAATTCCACCTTATTCAAAACCTGCCTCTGATAATTTAGTTGCCAAGTACTCCCTTGCTGAACAACAAAAGCAAAGCATGCAGCTAGCTATTCCCCAGTCTGCACAATCAGAGTGTAAATATGTAATTCCACCACATGATGAAGCAGAATTGCAAAAAAATCAGTTATATTCACCTAAACCAGCAAGCCTGAAGACAGAAGAGTTTGAGAATAAGACTGCATTGCACACAAAAGAACAAGATGAACAAGATCTCACAGAATGTTTATCATTAGAGCAGCTAAGTTCCCCCAAATTATCTGCCAAGTGGGATAAACAAGAGGTACAGCCAGATACACAAAAGGTGCCACAGTTAGTGAGCACAGAGTTAAAGGCAACTGCTGTAGCAGACCAGCAATCAGTGTCATCAGATACATTTGTACCTTTTCATGCTCCATCTGAAAAAACAGTATCTGTGGCCTTCACTGATGATGAAGAAAAACAAAATAAAAATATTCCATCATCTCTAGCTAACATGGTAGGCATACCTGAAAACCAGACAAATAGAGTTTCACGAAGTTTCACTAAAGAAGAAGATAGACATGAAATGCAGCCACATTTCACAGGGCAGAAGCATTCATCCTTACAGCAACTGAGATCTGTTTCCTCAGATCTTGTTTATGACACTGTGGCACACAAAACTCAGCATTATTCTTGTGAACAGGGTACATTTTATTCAATGGAGTCAAAGTCTACTTTCCCCAGTTCTAATGAAAAGCAGAATCCAGATATTCCATCTCCTGGGCTACCCAGCTGGGTGGAAGAAGAAGTGAAAGCTCATTCAATTAATCCTATAAAAGCTAAAGGAGTAGACAAGCTTTCTCGAAACAGAGCTTCAGATTTTGGATCAAAGCAATTCCCAGCTGGAAATTTCACAGAAGTTACAGTTCATGGCACTACAGACAATAACGGTAATGCATTTAGAGTTTCTGATTCTGAAACTGAAATTTCCTATGGACTGTCCTCAGAAACTGGTCACAGAACAGGAAGACATGATTTACCATCTCCAGGAGCAGATAATCCAGGTCCAGACAAAGGTTCAGAGGGTGAAACTAGATTTGGAAACCCTACAAAAAGGAAAGCAGCACAACATCTGGAGGCAGACAAAATGTCTAATGTGCCTGAGCATTACCTGAGACGAGAAGAAGAAGAAATGAAACACATGAGCACTGCAGAAGACAGTCAGCATGCTCCAGAACCTATTGAACAAAAAGATCTATTTAATATAATTTCAGAAGGTTATGAAATACTCAATATTCATGCTCCTACACATATTTCTTCCATTGATCAAGAAGAAAGTAAACATATGCCAGATAAACTAGAATACTTGGAAACAAATCCTTCATTTAAGAAAAAAATAGCTCATGAGAGACAAGAAGCTTCAGTTTCTGGAACAACAGAAATTTCATTGTTGGGATTGTCTGAAAGCCACAAAGTAAAAGAATTGGTCAAAACTGATGATGATGGGGAAACTGGAGAAATACAAGAAGAAAATCCAGTGTTGTCGGAAAACAGAAATCATGCAGTCTTGGATCCTGACAATGGTGTATCCGAAATTGATTACTTTGAAAAATATACCTTGATTGATGACAAATCCCCAATTAAGCCATATTTTGAAAGACCAAGCTCATCACGCCCTGTGAAAGAAGACCTTACTGAACCTGCGGAACAAGCCACATCTTCCAAAGAAACTGCTGAGGAAGAAACTTTGGAAGAGGAATTTGCCTTACTTGAGGATTTGGATGAAGTATTTTATGGAACTGTGAAAGGAGAAAGCAAAATGCAGTCTTATGTGGGTACTCCAGAACCTTTTCCTCTGCAGAAATCAATTGATATTAGCAGTAAAAAATCTACAAGTGTAGAAGATGAACAGAAGTCACCAGGGACCCCACTATTTGATTCAGAAGAAGGAGTGCTAGAACGATCTCTGTTGTTTCCTACCACTGTTGCTGCTGTTAATCCAGAGCTTCTAGAAGAGCCACCTGCTCTATCATTTTTATACAAGGATCTTTATGCAGAAGCAGTAGGAGAAAAGACAAAGGGTGAGACTCCTTCTGATGAAGAAAGTGGTAACTCTAATGCATCTTTTCCAAGCAGAAATTCAGACACAGATGATGGAACAGGAATTTATTTTGAAAAATACATTCTTAAAGATGAAATTCCAGGTAAAGTCTTAGAGCTTCAGGAGGATCAGATGCAAGAAGATGAATCTTTTAGTGGAGGAATTTCAGTTCCGAGTTCAGAGGAGAAATACAAGCAGAGGTCTGATGATGTTTTAAGAAGTTTTAGAACTGAGATTCTGCCAGAGAGAGATGTCGTGGAGAAAGTCCACAGTGACATTAAAGCAACAATTTGCAAACCAACGCATGCCATTCCTTTTGGAGGAAGAGTGATTGTTTCAGGTGCAAGAAGTGATGTCACTGAACAAAGAGAAGAAAATGTTCCTGTGGAAACAACTGAGGAGTTACCAGAGCAAACAAGTCAACAAGAGTATAGTCAAATAGTCAATTCTCCGGGAGCTGCACATCAAGAATTTATCAATAAGCAGGAAGAACACCATGAAATAACAGCAGTTCCTCAAGTGGAAAGATATGTTCCATATACTAGAACTCCTGTTGAAGACAGTGAAGATGATCAGTATACCCAGGAAATTCTTTCTCATGTTCCTACAATTCAGCGAAGGGAGAAGCCAGACTTTCAAAGAGAAGAGCAGCACCCTCGTGTTTATGGAGATTTCGCTGAGTCAATGGACTATGATGTGATTACACAAGAAGAACTTTTGCAAGATGAAATATCATCTGAACTCACACATGAGGAGCTATTATTTGAAGACAGGGACTCTTTTGAGCATATTGGGGATAGTTATGAATTTTTTAATGAGCCAGAGCAAAAAACACCTGTTGAACTTGAAGATTCAGGATTTGTGGTGATGTATCCTGAAAAATCAGCAGCAAACATTCCTGAAATTGAGAGTCCACAAAGAGAATCGAAGAAAGCACAGATAGATACATACTGTTATAACTGCAAATGTCCAATATCTGCTATTGACAAGCTTTTTGGAGAACACAAGGACCATGAAGTCACCACCCTAGATGATGCTGCAACCAAGATGAAGGTAAGAATTTATTTGGATGGGGAAGGAAATGCTGAGTCTAATTTCTCTATGCTTCCCATGTAGTCAGTGGAAAGTCTTCAGAAAGCAATTAAAAGGCTATCATAATATCTATGAAATAAAAGCTATTCCTAAACACATGAGAGAAATCTTGAAGGGGAAATATCATTAAGGTGTCCTGTAGAGTCCTCAGCTTGCTAAGCTGATATTCTTTTTCATTCAGAAGTTTGAATGGCCATGCTTATATGTAGCCGTTACCAGACCTTCCATCTTCTAGTCTTCTTATCTGTGCATGTTTGTCTGTTTTGTATGTGTGAAGTAAGAATTGGGAAGGTGTTTCACTGAAGAGAATTTTTGTAAGAGCAGCTTGTTTCATTCGACGGGTTACAGAAACCTCAATATGCAGGGGCCATTATCATCACAAAACGTACCCCAGTCCAGTTATGTGTATTGGTTGCTTGGAGATATTAGACGAATTACAGAGTTTACAATGCATATTTTTTTGAAATCTCGTCCACATTTTCTGTTCTTTCTGTTCATGTTTGCCTACCCTAATAGTATTTTAGCTGTGCTGCAGGTAAGAGTTTTACAAGTCTTGGTTCTTTCTACTAGTTTCAAGCTGTATTACTCTAAAAAACTGATAGAAATGTATCCCATTTTAGTAGAGCACAACTTTGATCTCAATAATGGTGAAAATGCTTTCATTTCTGTGGAAGCTCATTCTTCACTTAATTACAGTTCTATTTGTGAAAACCATAAGCGTGTGATGTTTCACTTTTCCCATATCAGATTTTTTTATGTACAATTATAAAGATATTCTTGTTCACCAGCTGTTTAATCTCACTTCTGAAAGGGGAGGTCTCTTTTCTGGCTCATGATCAGTTGTCCATAATACAGATTTAGTACAGTTTCATTAACATTCCAAAACTGTTCACATTTCTGTTGTTATGTTATTTTTATGATGGATCATATATAAGAAAGTGAAATTTAAAATAGAGGAGGAACGTGCCAGTTCAAATATCAATATTTGCAAACTATCTTCATGGTGTGCAGTTGTATGGCAGCAGAGTTAGTTTTTATATATGGCCATACATGCTTGACATAGAAGTGATAATTAGTTACCAGTAAGTCATTAGCAAAGTCATAGACCTCAACCATCTCTCATACGTACTTGCATTGCAGCAAGTCAAATTAAGCCACAAATATATGTCCCATGATATCACTCCCTGGCTGTGGAACACAGACATGAAGCCAGGATTAATTCTGGCCTCAGCACAGGCTTGGCTTCACATGATTCTAGCACTCAAGGCTCAAGTTACTTTGAGATGATATTTGTATGTTTCTTGTTGCCTCCGTATAATCGCTGAGAAAATATTAAGATAGCAAAATGCTTGTTGCCTGAACTTTATTGTAGGAATATAGCATCACAATTTAAAAAAATGAGCTGTGGATGGCACCTGTTAGATTTTGCAGGTTATCTTGACAAACAGAACTTTTCCTCTGAATACTGGTGATTGGCTTTTAATATTTATAAAGTCAGCTTTCAGCTTTACAGTCCAATGTGACACTTATAATTAATGGAAAGTAATATGCTAGTTTTTGAACAGATGTGACTGTAGAAGTTTGCCACAATAGGAAGCTGTTACCAAAGGAGCTGACCTGTTGACCTTCCTTTCAGATTTATGCCAGTTATCTACAACTAAATATTCTTACAAATTATAAATTTTACTTGAGCAGACAGCTAGTTTCTTTTAGGAATGGTCAAGAAGCATCAAGAAAAAGTTCTGAGTTGTTTCTGGTGCCTGTTGTCCCTTGGACTGCTTTTGTTTGCACATACAATTCAAACAGCAATTTTGATGGATTCTGGTTTACAAGGAAATATCCTTAAAACTCTAATTAAAAAACAAAATCATAGTGCTTCATAATCTGTTAGCCTCATAATTTCCTGTCATAATCTCCTTCTTCTGGGCTTTTTTCCTCTTGAGGATACTCATGAGGCCCTACGTATCCTCTGTTTCTAACGAAGCTACAATAGAATTCATAGTGTTTGACAACTTGTAGAGACACTCAGCACCTTGTTGAACTGAGATAACTTTTTTTGGATTGGAAACAGTTTTGTAGATGTTCCAGTTGCTATTTCTGTGCTTGCCTTTGCATCCAGGGAGATGCCTGAACTCAATTTAGCAATTGCTCTAATTGCCGCTTATGGAAAAGAAAAATATCCATTTCAACATAATATGTTGTGTGTGAAAACTTTATAAAACAACACAGTTAACAATACTTTTTGAATTTCAGGATCAATTAGGTGAATTGCTAATTGCACTGGAAAAAAAATCAATGAAGATTGAAGAGTTTGTGAGTGATATTGAATCCCTATTTAACTCTGTGGAGGTAAGTCCAGTGTTTTTTCACATTGATTTTCTGTCCCTCTACAGTACTGCTTCTAAATTACATTTGACTTTTTCATAGTGTCATTTTTTATTCTACAATAGGCTATTTCTCTAGCCCTCAAAATGACTTTTGCTGGAAGGAGTTGCGTTAAGGGGAAAAAAAGATTTCTTTTTTGCACATCATTGCAAAGCGTAATATGTGACTAGCAAGCACAGGAGGAAAAAGCTCCCTTGATTTTGATTATGCTTATAAAAAGTTCACTCTCTGTCTGTGTTTAGAGACCTGCGTTAAACATCTAAATACACTGCCCAATGGCTATACATTCTTAAGTCTTGAGGACTGTATTAACTTCAGTTGAAAGAATGAATTTTTAGCTATTTTGTAATCAGACTTCCTGTCTATGCTTGAATATAGAAGTTTAATTTTAAGCATTCACATTTTAAAATATATATCTGCCATTATTTTAAATGTATTTCTCCAGAATTATTTGTCCCAGATGAGCTTGCTTACAGAAATAATTTCTCTTACTGTCAGGATGCCAGGAATCTGGTGGATGAATCATGTATGGGCACTGAGAAATTCTGTGTATTCATTAACTATTGTAATTTCTGTCTGCAGATCAATTTATATCTGTTCTTATTTTCTAGGAAAACTGTAAGAAAAATGCAGAGTTATTGGAAAAGCAGAATGAAGAGATGCTTAAGAAAATGGTAACACAATATGATGAAAAATCAGAAAACTTTGAAGAAGTGAAGAAGATGAAAATGGAGTACCTTTATGAACAGATGGTTAACTTCCAGCAAACTGTTGATTCAGCAAAGGAAACTTTGGAGACTACAGTAAAGGAAATGGAAGAACTCAATGGATTTGTTTTCCTAAATGTAAGTACAAATGGCATTCATGTCGTTTTTATTAGACTAGTTAGGAAAGAACTTATAATTTACGCAGTGCCTGAGCTGAGAAAAAGATATTTATGTTTCATTCTTTAAAGATCTCTAAATCCTGCAAGCTCAGTTATTCCATCCTTGAAATGCCAGATCAGCTGCTTTTGTCATGTTAATAGAGAATTGCAAAGATGATGCATAGTAGGAAAATATGCCTTACAGCATTAAAATAGTTCTATTTTGTTTTGTGAAGAGAAAACTGAGAGACGTCTCAATAGTTTATCTAGAGTTTACCAGTGAGGAACAATAAATGTCATAGTAAGAGTAACTTCACTGTTGGAAAGAAAGGTGGAAAAAGAAAGCATAACTGAAAATTAACCAAAGTGAAAGCAAAATGGTTCTTTCGGTGGTTTTTGTTTGTTTATCTATACGGGGAGACACAGAAAGTAGGTATGCATTCAAATTATAGACACTGAGATAAATGTTTACTATTGAAAGATTCCTAGTCAGATGAAGTTTAGAAATGCACATGTGACATTCATGTCTGTGGTGGTCCTTCCAAGATTTGAAAAACATTCTGCGTGAATCTGTGTGACTTGAGTTACCTGATGACACAGTCATCAGTCAGCCACCAACTGGTTTCAGAGACTCTTGCAAATTAATCATTAATGACCTGTGTCCTCCAAGATTGTTCTTGTGTTGCAAGAATTGTTCACAGGTCAGCTATGTTACTTCCTCCTCTTGAGAACTGTATCAGAAGGTGATAGGATTTCTGTGACAAGAATCTGCTCCCATTGTAGAATTAGCCTGTAATATGGTAGTTGCAGAAGCTATCACAGGATGCAAGAAAATGAAAAATTAAAACTACTTTTTGAAGACTAATCATTCATACAAAATAAAACAGCTTTTGGAATAGAAGCTCCTTAGACCAAATACCAACAGTCATAGAAATGGTGGAGCAATATTTGTCTTTTCTCTTGTTGAGCTGCTCAATGGCTTAGGAACCTAGAGAGTCCTTTGAGAGGTGGGCTATCTTGGGATGGATGAGAAATGTTTTTTATCTTCTTGATAAAATTTGTGAAGTACTGGATTAGGATAACTCTTTCCCATGATATTCAGGGTTTTAACTAGATCATAAAAGATTCCCTATCCCTTTCTTTTACTGATATAGGACGGGAACTTTTCTTTCTGAGACAGGAAATGTTAGGTGTCAATTCATGGAGTATGGGAAAAACTCTTACTCCACAGGCACAAATCTCAACCTGCTTCTGGTGAACAGCAGTTATGAAGGAAATTTCAGACAGAATTGGTATTTATGTGTTATTAATGCAAAAGCGATTATCTTCTGCAAAAACTTTGATTTAGAAAAGTATTTGATTGTGCCCTGGTCTTTATACCCAGATATTGAATACTAGCTCCTTAGGAGTTTTAAACCAGATAGACTTGAATAGCCTGCTGAGTGAGGGCTTTGAAGGAGAAACATTCTTAAGGAACCAAATTCTCTGTGGGTGTGAATGAGCAGCATCCCAACCAACATTTAGTCAATAAAACACTGTGTTTTTATCTCTGTGGATAGTAGAGAACTGTGGGTGGATGGGGGACTCTTCAATATTCTCAGGGTTTTGAAACTGTTAATATATTTCTTTTTTTTTTTCCTTAGTCATCTAAAGAATTGAACAAAAGGTATCTGAAGTATGGGTTAAGTGCTCTGGAGTGAATACCAGGCTTAGATGGATGCTACTGGACACTTAATTTACTAACAATATTGCTAATATTGGTAGTTACTTTTATCAACCTTGTAAATAATAACTTTATACTTGTTGCTAGTACTGTAACTAACCAGTTCTGATGTGTTTTGTACATGTTCTATAACACATCAATTAAACAAGTGCCATTTTAAATTCCTGACTTAATTTTAAATCTCAGGCATTGAGCACATGTTCCTTGTAGTTACTGCTATATACACATATACTAGAAACCATTTTGACCATGTTTATATTTATTAACATCACTACCATGTGATATTTTACTACTGTGTTTCAGTAGATATGTGTAATATGACAAATGCCTTGGGGGAGCCATTTCGGTGAGCTCTATCCCTCATTAGACAAATGTTCAGTTTAGTTCATTTTCCCCCAATACATTTTCCAAGATGAACTATGACTAGTTACACAGTCTCCAGGATTCCCCTATAGAAGCCTCAAAACTAAAGGAAATTTCGCTTTGCCTGTTTCATTTACAGAGACAACCACCACTGACTTTGCCATGAGGCTGTGGCACTGCATGGTGCAAACATACCATCGTCAGCGCTGCCTCAGTCATCACAGTGATACAAATGCTGATCTGGGTTGATAGACTAGGATGTAAAAATGACACAAGGGTTCCAGGTTATTGTCAAATTACTAACCCAGGAAAATGGAGTGGTGAGAATGTGCCAAACATCCCTTTATAATTCCCATATATTTGCAGGATTAGGACTATAAATTTGGACTCTCCTGCTTTATGACAAAACATGTTATTTTGGTTTCACATCTGCACTTAGCTTTTTTCAAAGACTTGCTGCATGCTTAGAGTTCATTTGTTAACTTGCACACGAAACTTAATGTTAATTCAGTTTTGTGCTTGAGTTTGGTTATTATTTTATTTAATAATACCTGACTTGCCGAAAATATTATGAAAAACCTAAATAACAATGCATGCTTTTCTAAAGAAAATATATTTAATACTTGTTTTGCTTTGTGAAAATTATACATAATTAAGTGCTACAATGATTTTTCACTTCTTCAGTGAAAAACAAAGAGGAGAAAGGTAAATTTTAATTGCTTTGAAAAAATCTTTCATCTCCTTCAGTTGTTTGTGTCTCAAAGTTAAAAATATGTTTGATTTTTTTTTTTTCTTCTAATGAACTCAGCAAATGTAGGCAAATCAGGTGAAATCCATCTTCCTTCTTGTTTGTTTTTCTTTCGTTTTGCTTTGTTTGTTAGTTTGTTTTCCACAAGCAACTGTTTTACCTTATATCTGCAGATCAGCTGCTGTAGTTCAGTGCTGACTGTAACCTTGTGCTACTGTGCCCAAAATCTGATGCTCTTGGAAGTCTTACTGTGAAATTCAAATCCTCTCATTCTCAGGGATTATATACAGATATACAGATAGTGTTTGTTCTCAGGGTGTTTCTTATGTGAATTGTCAGTATGCTCTAAATGTTCAAATTCAGAACTTCTCCTTGCATGCAGTCCTCAGGTTAACGGGAAACTCAGAGAAAGTTATGTAGCATGGACATTGCTTCTGGCCCTTGGAAGCTACATGACACCACGAGAGATTTACATGGCTATATTTTATCCTAAATAGGTTATGTTCTGCAATGGATGCTACTCGTTCTTTAGAAAAGGTGCCCAGTACATTTTCACTGTTTGAGCACTATGAGGACAGTCCAGGAAAGAGCAACCAGAACTCTTTAAAACATGTGGCTGGTAAGAATCTCTGAATATCATCTTTACGAAAGTTAATGTTTTGGCAATACTTTGGAAATCTTAGGAAGCTAAAAATAGAATCAATTTCAGAAGTATAAATTTGCAAACCATGTTATTAGCAATCAGAGTTGAATGTAAAATGAAGTCTAATTGTGCACAAGTGTTTGGCTTATAGTAAGACATTAAGATGAGCAGAGGGAGGAGAATTATCATGGAGGATTCTTGTCTTTTTTAAAAGATCAGTATCTCAGACTATCAGCATACCTCTGTAAATCTCATGAGGCTAAAGAAGTTGCTGTCTCCTTGTAGGCAGACATGGAAGTCTCCTTTGCATGCATCCTCCAAGAGGGATGCAACTCCATGTGGGGAGGAATGCCAGGGAACGACTGATGGCCAAGATCCCTGGGTTTATGCCATGTGAATGAAGGCATATTGAAAGCACACTGGAGCACCTCTACTATGAAGAAAAGTTGAGGGAACTGGGCTTGTTTAGCTTGGAGAAGAGAAGGCTCTGGGGAGACCTCATTGTGGCCTTCCAGTACTCCAAAGGAGCTCATAAACAGGAAAGACAAATGTTTACATGGATTGATAGTGATGGGACAAGGAGGAATGATTTTAAACTAAGATAGGGGAGATTTAGGTTAGATATTAGGAGGAAGATTTTCATTCAGAGGGTGGTGGCGCACTGGAACAGGTTGTCCAGACAGACTGTGGATGCTCACCCCATCCCTGGAGGCATTCAAGGCCAGGTTGGATTTGGCTCTGAGCAGCCTGGTCTGGTGGTTGGCAACCCTGCACATAGCAGGGGGGTTGAAACTAGATGATCATTGTGGTCCTTTTCAATCCAAGCCATTCTATGATTCTGTGATTCCATGGAACTCCTCCATATGGGGATATGAAAGGGAAGTTATAGCTTTAGCTGGAATAAGCCTTTACTTCTGAAGACGGTGGTTAAAATTGCACATGATAAAGAAATTTATTCATCTCTATTTCATATTCTGTAAAAAGCCTGCCTAAGTGGGCTTGCTGCTTTGCCTGTACATACATTTATAGGCATTATCCAGATCTAGAGAGCTACTAATGACAACCCGTTTCTCTCTTCATGAAATGTAAGTCTATAGTGACTTTCTAAAGAGAAAGGTTCTTCTGGGAGAATCACATCTCACTGTCCAGCTTTATGACATCCTTCTCACTGTCACATGCACCACCGCTGTCACAGTCACTCTATGGCTACTCAGATGATGACTTTTTTCTCCTATTTGGTCCCTGAGTAGAGCAACCAGAACATCAGTGTCCATTTGGTGCTCTGTTACCTTGATGGATTATCAGGTGGGATGTTGGAGAAGTGCACTGTTGTTCAGACTCTCCTGTACCTAGTAAGAGCTGATTGCACTCAGCAGTGCCACTGTGGCTAGATTGTTTTCTTCCTGCACATAGTCATTTATTTTTATTTAGTAGATAAATTGAATATCTCCCAGACCTTAACTTCCTTGTCACACCTGTGAATTTATCTAAGGGATTCAAAACTTCTCAGGTGAGATTAGGTTGGCATTTCTTCATGCATTATTATCTCAGCCTCATTTACTTACAAAAACAGATTAAAATACATTTTTTTAATTTACTCTTAGCCAGTGTTGACTTAGTAGTGTAAATGTACAATATACCACCATTTATTTCCTAAACTCTCTCTCACAATTCCCTACATACAACCATACTTTCCTCCTGTGTTGTTACCTAATGTCAAAGTCATACGGGAGAACTAACTCATTTTCTTCCTGCTGTACTTCCTTTTCCCACAAGTCACTCCCAGTGTGTTTTTCCCAGGTTGCTGAGATCTGCTGTGTAGTTTTATCTTCACTTATTACTGTGTTTATTGAACACCAAATGGCTTGGTCCAGACTTGGTCCAGACTTGGTCTGCTTTTACAGACTGGAAATGAATGACTGTCAACCAGTCAATGACTTTAAAAGCTTTTCATTTTACATGCTTCATACTCTTTTCTTCCTCCTAAAATTTCTGTTTTTCATCCTTCACTTCAACTACCAAATATCTCTGTTCCTACTGTGATTTTTACTTTGGTGAGCAGTGGAGTAAATACATATTTTTTTCAAAATTGTGCCCTTCCTGAAGGAAAATGGGAGTAAGTGCCTGCATGAAACTAAATTTTGAATTGAAGACTCTGAGTACATCATTTATCAAATAGCAGAGGCAAATGCCAGACATTCTGAATTTGTTTTGATTTAATCAATTTGATTAAATAGATGTGAATTTGTCATGTTTCTTCAATCCACATATTTTTTTCCTACAGAAATAACAGTCTTTTACTGAGCAAATACATAGAACTTTATTTTCATAACTATAGAAAAATCTTTCCTGCAAAATACCATCCATTTTCAAATATTCCACATTCACTAACGGAAAGTCCTTTTCCCTCAGATTATTCCTCCTTTCATGTAAGTCACCCATTAAGAAACGTGTAATCATAGAGAAGACCTATGAGTATGCACTTGTGCACACTAAAGCACAAATTCTGTCACAAGAGGAGCTGAAATAATTTAAAATAAAAAAAAATATATATTCTTTCAAAAGCGTAGGTCCTGCTCATTTATACCAAAAAATGAGGACCTTTGATGATGGTAACAATCGTCTGTTAAAATCACATAGGAATGTAACTGCTCTCCATCTTCAAGATCGCAAAGCAAAGGAAAAATTATTTCCATTTCACAGGAAATGTGTAAATATCTAGTAAGCATTTTGGATTGTTATCTTCTGTGTTGTGATCTATAGAGTTCAAGTGGCATCAAGAAGCTTCCTTACAGTACAATACTTCAGCAGACATTAAACAGATCAGAAAATGTCCAACTTTTCTTTTGAAAAATATAACTTAGTATAACTTGTGGTGCATGTAGCTCTTTTGTTTGATCAAAATTCATGTTAAAAAGAACCAGCATTTTGATAATGCAGAAATATTCTATTTCCACAGAAAATAGTTCAACTTTTTGCTTTGAAATTACTTCCTTTCAAAAGTTTATCTCTTATCATGCAGAAGTAAATTAGAAATCAAATGCTTTTCAATGCAACTGAACTGAATTTTGATATATAACTTTTTTCTCCAGCAGCTTCATTCAATATACTAGTTTCTCTTTGGATTTGGCAAAATAACAAATTTTGGAATTGTGGAGTTTCTGTGATCATAATAGTTTCTAGGCAACTTCACAGGAAAAGAAGCTTATTTTCCCACTGGCTCACCTGAAAGGTAGTCCTTTCCTAAAGGTGATCGATTTTTAAACTGACCGACCAGATGCAGTCAAAAGACAAAATGGGGATGGTTTTAGCAATGAAAAGGTTATTTTTTTCAGTGGGAAGCAGATGTAATCCTACTGTACTGTTAGCTCTCTGCATAAATCATAAGGAGACAAACAGCATCTGCATTTGCCTTGTTCATGCCACAGGGGATCATCATCATTACTGTGAAGATGACTGAGGAAAAGCAAAAGCTTTTTTGCTGAGATTCTAACAGAATTCATGCAGTATGGAAATTTACTGGGTGAAGAAAGAGACCAATATATTTTTGTTCCATGCAATTACTTTAACAATGAACATCTTGGGGAGGGAAGGGGGGTTGTTTCTTTCTTTCCCCTCCCTCCCTGTTAAACCACAATCTTAGAGAGTAGTAATATGTCAACAGAGAGGTATCTGTGCAGATCAGCAGCAAAGTTTGTATGAAATTTGGAGAACTTAGAAGTTTTTAAGGCAATCCCTGTGAGAGACCATAGAATCATGGAATTGCAGTACTTGGAAAGGACCTCTGGAAATCATCTGCTCAGTAGGTCACACAGGGAAATGTCCTGGTGGGTCCTGAACAGCTCTAGAGAAGTAGATTCCACAGTTTCTCTGGGTGACCTGTTCCAGTGCTCTGTCACCCTTGAAGTAAACAAGTTTTTCCTCATGCTCATATGGAACATGCCATGTTCTTGCTGGTGCCCTTTGTTCTCTTGCTGGACACCACCAAAACTCACCTCATTCACTTGACATTCGCCCTTAAGATATTTATAAGGGCTGTCAAGATCCTCTCAGTAATCCGGTCTGTTTTATGAGGTCTGGAAAACTTGGCTAAGGCAGAACTTCAAGGGCTGACCAAGGATCTAGGACTAAGGGGAAATGACCATACCAGGCAGGATCACCCAGCTGTCTACCTGCAGTTTGAGTCCACCTCTGGGCAGATTAGTTTCAGGGAGCTTCCTGTTTCTCAGGCTTTGAGTGCACAATGTCTGAATCTTCCTTTTCCTAAAAGCACATAACCGTTGTTGCCAGTCTGACAATGTATTTGAGACACTGCGTGAATCCCTCCATGATGTACAAGCTCCTTTCACCTGCACACTTTTCTGGGATCAGTTATATTACTCTCTGAAGGCTCTCTTCTGCAAGCTCCCTCTCCCCATCAACAAGCTATCCTGTGCTGTTTGCTTCAAAGAAGTGCTTTCAGTCTCCAATTTCACAGGCATTCTTTCTGTAAGGTTTTTATTCCTCTGATGACAAAGTGTAATGGAAAAGGCATTTGCCAGAGAAGCCTGCACTGAAGTCCAGGCCCATTTTGTCCCATCTGAGGAGATGACCTCAAATTATTGGGTGTCTCTTGGACTTCTGTGCCTTGAAGTGAAGTGCAGAGCTGGACTGCAGCTGGAGGAACTGTGATTGGAGGGAGCAGGTCTGCTGGAGAAGGAAGAGGCATTCTTGCTACCACTGGGGTTTTGTGACAGCTCTACTTATTTAGGCCTGGGAGGCAGCATTCTGCTCTTCTCAGCTTGTGGAAGCTAGAAATGAGCAGCCACACAGTTGTCCATCTGTGCATCTCCTGTAGGCAGGGACTCTGAGAGCTGTGCAGGACATTGGCACATGCTTTGGGCTGGGTTTAGCCCAAACTGAATCTTAGTACTGAATCTTAATTTTTGGGTCTGTGAAAGAAATGGGCAACCAGATTCTTATTCTGAGCAATTAATTTTTTACTGTCTCTAGTTCAGACGAACCTACTGCTTTAAAACTGTTTCCAATACTTGCATTTTTCTGTGGAAACAAGCACTTGAATGAAAATAAGAAACATGATTGCTCATGAACATGTAGTTAATTCACCTGAAAAAACAGGATTGTGAATAACAACTGAGGATTCTCTGTTCAGTCCCACAGACACCGACCTTAATACCTCAGGAGCCAAATTCAGCTACCAGCACCTCCATTGCTGTCTACTGGACTGTGAATGAAGGGGACGCCATTGACTGCTTCCAGGTGTATTGTATGGAGGAGCTACAAGCCAGCAAAGATGAGGGAGGTGCGTAAAGTCTTGTCTTCATGACAGCAGCAGCCCTTTCTCCAGTGACCTCATGTCAGCACAAGGGAGGCTGAGCTACAGGGAGGGTGCAGGACGCAGTGGTGAAATCCTGCATTGGACAGGTAACAGTAGAGGAGAGCAGGAAGTAAATGACATTCCCTATCTTCTCATTCACCCTCCAAACTACAATATAAATACCATTGTCTGCAAAGTGCAGGATAGTTGTTTGTAGAGAAGCAGCAACAACCTTATTTAGATGCTTTTACAAAGCAGCCCGACTTTCAGAGAGGATGTGTCCCTGCTATTCCTTTGATACAAATAGAGCTTGCAAAAGGACATGCCCACTTAGGTTTGTAGAGCCTCAAAATGTATACTGATTTAAAAAACAGCATGAAAAGTTCATTAGAATCTCCAGTTTTTCCATATATTTCAGAGATGTTTTTCAAAATGACATTAACAATTCTATATGTTAAGTGCGGAAACTGAGAATAGAGGATACAAATGCTCATTCGTCAAAAAGCTCAGAACATGCATCTGTCTGTGTATGTGTGCCTAAAAATGGATGCATGGGATATAAACTCATTATGAGAAATAGCTATCCTCTAGAGAAATTAAACCAGAGTTGATAACTGTTAAATGTATGTCTCAAACTGCAGCCTACTACACAGTAAGACTGAAGGCCGTAAGCTCCCCTTACCACTGGTGACTTTAAAGTGCGCCCAAAAGCATGTAAAAAACTTTCTGTCAAAACTGAGTCAGAGTAAAATACTGACCTTTTGGCTAATAGCAACTTTTTACATACTATTTCTTACATGTTAGATGAGAGGAACTATTACAGGCCCTACAAGAGATGTATGTAGGTGTACCAGCCTGTGTGTGTTTCTCCTAGGTTTGGTAGAAGAATACAGAGTGACAGTGAAGGAGAGCCACTGCATTTTGGAGGACCTGGAGCCAGACCGCTGTTACAGCGTGTGGGTCATGGCTGTGAACTGTACAGGGTGTAGCTTACCTAGTGAAAAAGCCATTTTTAAAACAGGTATGTACATAGTTTTGTATTTGGTTACTGTAAGCTTCACGTTTTTAAAGAAATTTTAGTCCATATTGTTACTGAAGCAGAGAAAGCTGTTACATTCAGTCCATCTGTCAGATAGCAGGCAACTCGTGATCATTTCCCTTTTTACTAAAAGATGACAGCATAATTGCTCCTGAGAGGAAATGTGAAAGTATTGAGAACTGAAGATGTTTCTAATTGCAGGCCCTGTGACTGGGGCACTGGAGCAACACATTACAAATTTTACTTCTGACTGCACTGCAGTGCTCCAGGGCAGCTTTGGGAAAGCCGCCCTGCTGCTCTGCCACTGCTTCTCTGATGGAAAATTGAGGTAATAGCTGAGGTTTTTTTACCTCTCTACCATCCTCCCAGATAGATCTATGTTGCATTGATTAAATGATTAACTTTTCAGAGGGAGGCATGCTTTACAGATCTTACATCCCACATCTAGCTTAGTGGAACACAAATCTTAGGTGTGGCTGTGGTTTGAGTAGTCTAAATTAGGATTGGTAATTAGATGAGTATTGTTTGTGAACTTCATTTAACTGATTAACTTTCCAGAGTGTTAATTTCCTAAATAACTTGTATAGACAAAACTATTGCTTCTTGCATTACAAACCAAACATAGCATCTTGTGTTCTAGACCTTATCTGAGATGCTCATGCCAGATGATTTTTCTTGTGTTACCGGGTAAAAATTCTGTTGTAGCATTTACAAAATATAGACAAGGACACTTAACAATTTCATAATCGTACAACACTGAGTGTGCTGTTGACTTCAATTGGCAGCAACCATAACTCCAAGCCTTCTGCTTAATCCATTAGACATCAAATTTGTTGACAGTTCTCCTGGATACTCAATTTGCCTTTCATATTTTTAGCTAAGACAATTTTCCAAAGAATTTAAGTAGAAAATCAAATTCAATGGCATCAACAATGTCACTGTGATCACTTTGCAAAATTCCTACAAAATGATAATGAATGATTACTAGCTAATAAGTCAATTTTTATTAAGAACTGTAATTCCCTTTAAGTAGCAAGCTCCTCCTACTTTTCCCCCAAATTCAAACCTTGTGAAGAACTTAATATCCTCAAGTCACTGATGATTTACTTTGGCTTGTTCTTCTAGGGAAACAAATAAACTAGGTCAAATAAGGGCTCATTATACACCTTCCCTTGAGCTGAGGTGATATCTCTCTGGTGTGCAACGAGCCTCAAGAAGTTTATGGAGATACCACTGAGCACTAACTGATGCTGGGTCCCATTAACATCACCATGAACTGAAACAGGAATTTAGAAAGATTATTTTCAGTAATTCAGTGTAACTGTTGGCACAAGAAAGCTGTGTGCTGGTATATGCAGTTACAGGAACATACACATTAGTGGTGGATCAAAGCTGTGCCTCTCCAGGGCTTTCCCTGGCATGTTTAAAAATCATGATTGCATGCTGCTGCATCATCCCCTCAGCAACTCCAGTCTCCTGCTTCTCCACCTCCCAAACTCACTTCTTGTCTCCTGGGGAAACACACAGTTTCATAGCCAAATTTCATGTGACAGAATGATGCAAAGGGCAGTAAATATCTGCCTTCTACCTGTCTATCCCCAAGAGACATCCAGGTGAATCTTCTGCAATCCTGAAGAAAAAAGAATAAATACACTTTCTTTTGTCATTCAAAATCTGCTATTTATCGTGTATCTGAGAGGCAGAATAAGCATTTACCCATTTCTCTTTGTCTCTTGAAGACCTCTCAAGAAAGCATGAGAATGTTACCAGGAAGTCAGCTGGTTTTTAGCACAGTAACTACAGGTAATTTGTGAAAAAATCTTAGAAGCACAGTAACAGCTCTTTCTGTCCTTCTGAGTCCAACTGCTCTTTAGATAGATAGCTTCAAACAAACAAAACAAAACAAACAAACAAAAAGTCTTGTTATGTATTGTTTACACATCCATTAATGTGGGTATGTGTTTCCATTTCTTAATGCAGGCATTTGTGGATTTAGCTATTATCATTCTCTAGTGACAGATACCCTTAAAAACACAACAATCAAGCATATCAGAGGAGAACTAAAGGACTATTGCCAAGGGAACTGCACAGATGTATTAGCGGATAAAAATCTATCCCCCATATTTTTTTCTATGATGAATACCTAGATTAGCTGTTCCTGTAGTAAAACATCAAGTACATCTTAACCTGAAACCTGATTTTCACTAAACAAAGAAATCAGTATGTGCTCCTGTTTTTTTTCTTCTTTCCTTTTTCAACAATAGCAAATTATTTTTTTTACAGAGTGCAGAGTGCATCTTGTGTATTGGTTGAAGGTCTATAAGATTATCTTGTCCTCTTCCTATTCTTTACCTAGACATTCTATTTGAGGCTTGATTTCTTTAAAAGCATAACAACTTTCTATGACATGTTTAAAAATAAATATTATTTTAATGTTTAAAAATTATTTTAATGATTGGTGTTAAGGCTGTTTATGAGAGTGAGCAGCAGATCACAATGTTCATCTATGTTGTTCTTCCCTGGAAAGAGATTAAGTAGATGAATACAACGAAACCATTTTAAGTCTGTGATGTTGGATGCACTATTTCACAGAATAGCTTTTGATTACTTGCATTCAATGCACTGCTTTACATTCAGTTTTCTATTTTGCAATTGGGCCTGCAGTTCTTAAACTGAGGCTCTAAAAAAGAGAAATTACAGGACCAAATTTTAGTATCCGCATTGCAAAAATAATACTACATAATTAAGAAGAAACTCATAATTTCCCCCTCGATTCTACAGCAGCATATTTTTTACTGATGCAGCTCATGCAGGAACTGCTGAGAACAGGATTGAGATAGCCTGAACAGAGTTATACACAGTACTGCCTTGGTGCTCCACTCTATAAAGAAGGGTGGAAATGAGGAATGTGCGTTTGAGAAAAGGCATAGAAATCTACTTGGACATGTTAAGGATGTGCAGAAATGCACTAATATTCACAGTGACTTTGCCAGCATGTTCCCAGCCCGTTATAAGGTAAATCTTTGCTGTCAAAACTCAAATAAGCCGCATTTCACTGCTGGACAGACTAAGCCATCTATCCTGTGTTTCCTGAGGGCAGATGACTCTTCCCTTCCTTTGCAAGTATCCCCTACCAGCTGCTAGTCCGCTCTTTGTAGTACAGCTAATGTGTTCCTGTGTCCCCAGCACCTGCCACCCCCACCATCAAGGCTGAAGACTGCACAGTGTGTTGGGATACAGCCACCATCCGCTGGCAGGTTGCCTCACCAGCAGCAGAGTCCTTCACCCTGGAATACTGCAGACAGCACTCACCAGAAGGAGAGGGTCTCAGGTCAGTGCCACAGTTGCAAAATGTTGGTCGATTGGATTAGGCAGACATTAATGAGCACTCCCCAGACTACAGGTCTTACACAAGAGATTATTCTCTCTTCAGCTACGCAAGAAAGAAATAAGCTTTTGCATGCTGAGGATCTCAGAGGCTGGATACAAATCTGTGAGATTAGTCTAAAAGATACAAAAACACTTCCTTTTCATTCTGCATAACTGAGCACTCCCTCTCATTTGGGGCCAAAACCCTGGAGATACTGTTCTGCCTACAATAAACCAGAAGTTGCTGGACTGTGCTGGCTGGGGAAACAATCACTCCTGCTCAGCTGTGATGGCCCCCGGCAGGGCAGGAGAGAGCAGCTGAGTCCTGCAGGAGGGAGTGGGATGAAGGGGTTCAGCTCAGTTTGCTCTCTGCTATGTGGGGAACAAAATGGGAGCCAGCTGGGGACGTAGAAAGGGTTGTACTGGTGCCCCAGTAAAGTTGATGACCCATCTGCGCACATGCAGATTCCTCAAGTATGGCTGAGCCCAGTGCTGTGCTGACTTACATGTGTGCGCCTGCAATCCACTGTGCAAGAATGGCACAGGAGTCTGCAGCAACCCAAAGAACAGCTTGGAAGTTGGGGGTGGTATGTGCTTATTCCAGACCTTCTCTGTTTTCTCTTATACTACATCTCAGCTATGTAAAGGGTGAGAAGAGACAAAGACAACATGAAAAAGTGAAACCATGGAGTTGTTGAAATGCACAGAGAATTATGTGGTAGTCTGTGTGTCTTTGGATTTTTATTTAAAAAAAAAAAAACAATGGCAACAACATTCCAACAAACTACAGTTGTTGATGTACAGAGTGTGACCCTATGAAAGAGCTTCAAACTGATTTGAGACCTGATTGGAGTTTTTACATTTGGTCTAGCTTACATGGATGTGTGACAGGTAGGGAAGAACTCTGCTCCTTGCAGTCAGTATTAGTCAAGTGGACTAAAGAGTTCACAGGTTTGTAGTAGCCAGGTAAGACAGAGAAACTGCGTGTGCTTTGATTTTTGCAAAAGTAGGCTAAAAACTTCTGCAAGGTTGAGAGACCCTGTTTTACCCAGCTCCAGCATGCTGTTAATGCAAACAAGAGAAGGAGGGGCAACTTAGCCAGCTTTCCTCCTCTTCAGGAGAACAGCCATGACCTGTTCTAGTTTATACATATTTCACAAGGCCATCAGGACACTGTCAAACTGCCAAAGTCTCCGTTGGTCAGGAACAATGTGGCTGCTCCCAAAATCTGGGCTATCTCTTTGCCCTTACGTTTCATTGCTGTTAACTGGAATTGCCTTTTTCTCGAAAAAGAACTGCCATGTGTGCCCATTTCTGCAATATGTGAGCGAGGTGTTGTTAGCACCAAGCATTTTGTGAGCGTGGAGTTAATTGTGGCAACAAGCTGCCAGAACTGACCCATTCCCTTTTTCAAATAAACTATGCAAAATCAAAGATGTTTATAACTATACTGAGTCACATTTTACTTTTTGGCCTTTATGTGGGCAGAAGCTGTCCTTTTACTGTGACACATGAAAAATTCACAGAAGATAAAATCAAGACTTTTCTCTGAATTGCTGCATTTGAAATACCTGTGTTTGTAGAAGGGCTTTAACCTTCTTTTTACAGTGCCAAAGACCACCTTTTAACCACTTATTTTCCCTCAAAGCAATACCTCTATTTATTTTTCCAAAAAGAACCCCTCTGAGATTAACCTAGGAAGCTTCTATAATAGCTCAGGATGTCTCAAGGATGGAGAATTGCTTTCTTTTTAAAAAATTCTGCTTTGAGTGTGTGTGTGTGTAAAGCCAGAGGGAAAAGAGCCAACTGGTAGATGGAACATATTGCCTGTATTGCTCCCATTTAATGCCCCTGAAGTGCAAGATAGGACTTGAAATTAATTCCTTATGTAGCTGATGAGTGAGAAAAATAGCTCCAGGTGGTGAGTCAGATCTTAAATTGTCTGAGTTGCCTTCTGGAAGTACATATAAGGGTATTTGTGTTTCTTTGCCACGTACCTCTATTAGGTGGAATAAACTTGTGTCTTTAATGCCCACATAGGAGCATGTGAGCCTGAAAACACTGTAGTTTCTTTTTACTATCTTCCTTGAAAGCTCAAAGTATGTCCTTCACAGGTTTCCTGAGCAACACTCATCTTGGGGACCAGCCAAACACAAAGCTTTTTGACAGACAGCCTGTGCCTCTTACCAGTCCCTTAGCTATGCAATTCCCTTGTGCCCATGTGGGAGTTCAAACAGACTTCCCAGCAGCCCTGGCAAATTCGTACCGCTCCTCTCAATTGCACAGTAGAAAAGCAGAGGTCAGGGAAGGGCACCTAGGGAAGATGTGGGCAATAGTAATCAGCCATCTCACAAAATTCACCGTCTGCAGTCCCAGCTTGAGTGGCTGCTTTCACACGTCATGCTGGAAACTTATGCAAAGCAAGGGACACTATCAAGGGAGGAGCAGGTAGGGCGAAATGCCCCCACAGAAAGCTGGAGCTGTGTGTGAATCCCTGTGAAATTTGCACATAAGGCATTAGAAGTGTTGATGGCTGCTTATCTCCTGTGTAAACCTTGGGGACAAAGTCTGCAAGGTAGGCCCAGAAAGCAGCTGAAGGAGTCAGTGTTTTGCTGCAGTACAGTCCTATTTGGGCTAAAGGTTGTTGGAATAAGCAGACAACAATTCAGCACAGAATCTCAGAGGCCTCAGTACTCAGAGTGAGACCTTTTAATTGACTGCGAAATTAATATTAAAGTTCATATCTATCAGTATGACAATGATCTCTAAGAAGAACTTGTTAAACATATATTACTGTAGCATTTGACTCTCCACCCAAAGCATGTTAAAACATCACCCCAAGGAGGAAAACAGAAGTAGTGTTTAGAATGTGAGGGAGGATAGGGAGGAAGAGAGAGGAAGAGAAACTGAAGAAGAGAGATGGGATGGGAATGGAGATGAGTATGGGAAAGGGATGGGAATCTGCCTCACTCTTCTTTCACCAGGAGAGAACTTTGGTGAACAGTGTCCCTCATCTTTGGGTGAAGAAAATAGCCAGGCTGGCATCATCTTGCTGGCACTATTATCGTATGAGGACTGCTCTGAAAGTACTGCCTCCTGTTTTATTATGTTGGCCTATAAGAGAGGTGTGTATTGGTGGTATGGCAGTAGAGGTGAAACTTTCCCTCCGATATTGCATTAAATTGTGTTGCCATGTTCCATGTGGCATGAGAGGGGCAGTCTGACACGATGGCATCTGACATGCATAGAAATGTGTATGAAGCAAAAGTCTGTCACTGAATTCCTCCATGCTGAAAAAATGGCACCCACTGATATTCGTGGATCATAGAATCGTAGAATGGTCTGGGTAAGAAGGGACCTTTAAGATCACCTAATTCAAACCCCTTGCTATAGGCAGGGACTATAGGCAGGGACACCTCCCTCTAGACCAGGTTGCTCATCCAGCCTGGCCTTGAATGATTCCAGAGAGAGGGCATCCAAACCTCTCCGGGCAACCTGTTCCAGTGTTTCACCACTTTCACAGTAAATAATTTCTTTGTAATATCTAGTCTAAATCTACCTTCTTCCATCTTAAAGCTACTTACTTTCCTTTTTCTGTCACTACATACCCTTATAAAAAGACCCTCCCCAGCCTTTTCTATAGGCCCCCTTCAGGTACTGGAAGGCTACTATAAGGTTTCCTCAGAGCCTTCTCTTCTCCAGGCTGAAGAGCCCCAGTTCTCTCAGCCTGTCCTCACAGGAGACGTGTTCCAGCCCTCTGATCATCTTCATGACCTTCCTCTTGACCCGCTCCAACAAATCCACGTCCTTCTTATGTTGCGGTCCCCAAAACTGGATGCAGTACTCCAGGTGGGGTCTCATGAGAGCAGAGGGGCAGAATCACCTCCCTCGACCTGCTGGTCATGCTTCTCTTGATGCAACCCAGGATGTAGCTGGCCTTTTGGGCTGCAAGCACACACTGCCAGCTCATGCTGAGTCTTTTATCAACTGACACTCCCAAATCCTTCTCCACAGGGCTGCTGCCAAGCCATTCTCCACCCAGCCTGTGTCTGTGCTTGGGATTGCCCCAACCCGAGTGCAGGACCTTGCAGTTGGCTGTGTTGAACTTCATGAAGTTGGCATGGCATGGGCCCACCTCTCAAGCCTGTCCAGGTCCCTCTGGGTAGCACGCATTCTATCTAGCATGTCCAGTGCACCAGTCAGCTTGGTGTTGTCTGCAAATTTGCTGAGGATGCACTTGATCCCACTATCCACATTAAGTACAGAAATGTCAAATAACACTGATCCCAACACCAATCCCTGAGAAATGCCACTTATCACCAGTTGGACATTTAGCCATTCCCTGCAACTCTCTGAATGTGACCATCCAGCCAATTCCTTACCCAGCAAGTGATCCATCCATTTTTCTCCTATTTGCCAAACAGGATGTTCTGCAGGACATGCTTTGCACATGTCCAGGTAGATGACATCAGTCGCTTTTCCTTTACTCTCTGATGCTGTAACTCTATCATAAAAGGCCACCAATTTTGTCAGGCATGATTTGCCCATGGTCAAGTCAACATAATCATGTTGATTACCACCAGTCACCTCATTGTTATTTTCCATGCACCTTAGCAGAGCCTTCAGGAGGATCTGATCTTGCCAGGCACAGAGGTGAGACTGACTGGGCAGTAGATCCCTGGATCTTCTTTTTTTCCCTTCTTCAAAATGGGGGTTATGTTTCCCCTTTTCCAATCAGTTCTCACAAATGATCACACAAGAATGAACACCATACGCAAGTTTGTCAGGACCTGTTGAATCAGTACAAAGATGACAGTTTACTGCATTGCATTATTAGCAGTAATGATATGTGATATTACCACTACAAGCTAGAGTCAAAGTGGCAGTCCATGTGGCAACATGTGAATTCCTCATTGAAGAGAAAGTTGAAGATGAAGCCCTGAAAGTGATGTGTCTTTGGGT